AGAGAAAAAAAGTCTTTAATATTGCGGTTTATGGAAGAGCAGTCATTATGCATTTACGTATCAAAAGTGGAAAAGTAATCAGTTATACGGAAATATCTTCGTTGCTGCTGTTGATATTGCTATCGTAGATGTTGATCTTTCGCTCTATTAAAAGAAGAAGAAGAAGAAGAAGAAGAAGAAAAACAACAACAACAACAACAACAACAACAACAACAACAACAACTACAACAACAACAGCAACAATAACAACAACAGCAATAATAAAAATAAAAATAAACGGATTTACATTGTACAAAACAGCGCCCTACAACATGGTGTATGCGTTTTATAATTGTTATCACCCCAGAAAATCCAAGAGCATGATTAAGAAATAATCTGGGCTTACGAGATTGTTAAAACTACGAATTATATACGCTAAAATACTAACAAACTGACGAGATTTACTATCATTAATACTATTACTATTATTATTGTTTTTTAAAATTATTTTTTATTTTTTTTATTATTATTATTATTATTATTATTATTATTATTATTATTATTATTATTATTATTATTATTATTATTATTATTATTATTATTATTATTATTATTATCATTATTATTGGTAAGTGTTTCACAGCGCTCGCAACTGCATAAGGTAATATGAGTGCTCAGGACACACTAACCATTTTCAGTTGGTAGGAAATTTTAAAATTTTGCCTGGATGGCGGCTGCAGAATTTGAACCACCAAGGGATCTTTAACGTGCTCAACGTGAATACGAGACCTCCGAGATTTTTCGCTCTTGTCTGAGAAGGCTAGGTGTAGATCTTTCCTACCCTAAGAACAAGGGTGTGGCTGAAAGACAGCTGTTAGACGGAGCCAAAGAGTAGCAGTAAAAAGGCTGCAGAACGAGATATTTTTTTCTTACTAGGTACCTATTCCCACCCGTGTGAAGAGAGAAAAATAGGAATAGCACAACGTGTAAAGTGTCCTTCTCGAGGACACAACGTTGGGACCCTGACGGTTAAGACCCCGGAAGCCTAACCTCTAGACTACCCATGATACAAAACAAACGTGTGTACGTCCAAGCGTCCCACAAACAAAATTGTAATCCAACTAGATGCCTTAAAGATGGCAGCCCTATCGGACTTCACGCTCTATTTTCAATCCTCTAAAGGTCTCAAGTTTTTAGTGGCATCAAGCTGGGCTGTTATTTTTTTAAAAGATAAATATGTAGCTAATGTCACCATAAAAATTTGACATTAATTAAGGGGATTTCTTTATATTCCTATAAATGGCTGGGAAATAATATAAAGTAAAACTTGTGGGAATGAACTGGAAAGAAAGTAATTTGGACGTTTATTAATTGACCTTAAATAAATATGACGGACAATAACATACATTCTCCTGTTACTATTGATCACTCTTTTGACAACAATTAAGTCAATGGGCACAACGTTGAAATACGGCGTCCCAACATACGGTTTCGGAAAAAGACAAGACTTTTCTCATATAAAACTGCAAGAAATGTATAGACGGTCAGTCAATTCAGTCGTGAACAACCCCCCCAGTATGACCTAATAAGCCCTTCGCGCGTTAATACATGTATATTCTGTCTGAGCTGGATCCAGGTGAAACGAATAGAATGCTGAAGTATCTGCATCAATCACTTTAACAGAAATCATGAATGCTCTGTTCCCCCCCCCACACACACACCTCTGGGTCACCCTATTCCATCCTCTCTCCTCTCTACGCCGTGTTATTCATCTGCTGTATTCTAAACACTTGTCCAATGGTCAAGTGGTCTGCGGATAGCACTGGCAGGAATGTCAAGGAACGCAGACTGCCAATAGATGGATATAATGATATATAGTGAGATGTCCTTGAGCCAAGCACGTTAACCTTTACTGACGCCTCAGACAAAGTCCAGCGACCAACAATAGCATGTCTTTTGACAAAGGTCGAGAGTGGAAGGAAGGGAACGTGGAACATGTTGCTGTTGTATGTTGGCAATAAAATGTAGAGAGACTGAAGAAGACATTATTCTATATTATACAAATACAGCACTTTCAGAAACCATATCTTAACCTGTGGGGTTAGCCATAGTAACACATTACTCCATTCTTTGCAAAGATCAAGTAAGCCAATTTCCCTCTTTTATCTCACGGGTAAAATAGAATCTATCACGACAGACAGAGCAAACAGCTGGATAAGCTAAAGCTCTTCAACTCCTGCCACGTGAAAGTAATATTTGTGCCACGCGTAAAAAGTGGTTTGAAGTCTCGAGAAAGAGATAATAAACTTTCTTGAATGAAGATCATTCGTTTTATGATATCCCCTTCTCAAGAGTGGCACAAACAGCGCCGTCGTTACGTCGTTACAAAAGGTCAAAAATTGCGACAAAAACACGTGTCTACAGCTACACTTGTCTGCTTAATTGTGTGGCGTCAGGGTGTATTATTCGCTGTCAACATAATAAAAGCGTAGAAACCACCACTTTTTCGTTCGCCATTCGG